GCAGCTGGGGATTATAGGAAATAATTGTGAAGGTGTCAAGCAGCGCCACACACGAGAAGTGACGACGCGTCATTTATTGACAGATACTTCAGCCAATTGAGGCGATGACGCACCGGCTGATATCACTTTGACAACTTTCCCTGTGAAGGACACGAAGGAGACTGGGATGGATCATCTTTACGACCTCAAGCAGCACACCCCGAGCAGCAAGCTTTAAAAAAGGAAGATGTCTTACTTCCTCATCGTCGCAGTGCGCGCGCTGGGAGCGATGCTGAAGCCGGGCTCTGTGGCTCCCCGCTGCCCTCTCCGCGTCGCCACCTCTCCCCAGGAGATGGTTCGCCTCCGGAGGGTTGGGGAACGACTCGCTCGTGTTAATCTTCCCCGCGAATCTCTGATACAGCGAGGACATGTCGGCAAACAGGACTCGACTCCTCTTTCAGTCACGCACACATAAAGTTGAAGCCGGAGATCGACGTGTTTCAGGATCCACGGCACGTCCCGCCACGCCACTTCCACACTTTTCTCTTCAAGTTTAGAATGCACAAACAAGCAAGCTGGAGCTGTGAGGATCTGGATCCAAATGACAAAAGGAGCCGAGCTGCTGCTGTCCCGCGTCGCTTTTTCTTTTTTTTTTTGGTTGTTGTTCACTCTCAGTGGAGGAAAAGTATCTGCTGATAAACGTCCCGGGTTTTTAGTGTCTCATGTTCCAAACACCTTCACAAATCAGACTTTAGAAAGGGAACTTGCCTCAACTTGGCTCGTGTTTGGAGCTCAGATATGACCTTTAGTTTATTTCTTTATTCGCCTCCTTCTGGGTCAATGGAAGGAGCAATGCGGAGAGTGAGAGTGCCCCCTGGTGGACAGAAGCGTGCATAACACCTGGCTGAGCAGCAGCAGTGGAGGGAGGGATGGAGGCAGAGCAGAAAATAAGAAGATTCATCTGACTGGCATCATTGAGCAAGGTCTGCAGAGAATTTTAATCCAAAACTTTATACTTTTTTCCTCCTTCCCTATCAGCTCTTGTGTGAAACGTTGATTCAAAATGGTTGTCACCACCGAGTGATCTTAGAAAACACAATAAATAAATACATAAACTAATCTAAGTGTACTGATAAAAAGCTCAAATTTGGTGTTGAGGTGTCTGAGATTGAGCTTTCGTACGTGATCCATGCAATCCAATCCATCATGCAAGATTGTTGTCTAAATTGTTGTCATGGACTGTTGGAGTCAACCCTATTTGTCTGTTAGCAAAATATCGCTGGAACTGTAAAATAGATTTTAATGAAATGTTCAGAAATTGGTATCTGAATGTACATCAATATCTGATTAACTTTTGTACTCAATCAATGTAAGATGGCCCTCACAGCTACTGACCTTTAGTCAAGCCTAAAATAGTTATAGTCTCCCAGTTACCGTGGGGGTTATGTTCCACACACCCCTGCAATAGGTGACAAACCGCCAAGTAGAAACACTATATTTATTTTAGTATGTATATATTTTTAAGGCTTTGTAAAACTTTCCCCCACTCTTGCAATGTTTTAAGCTCTGCAACAATACATCATTTTAACAACATACATATACTGTATGTACAGTACTGCAAAATGTATCACCAGAGAAGATACTACAACTTGAAGGATGAGTTCAGCTTCAGGATTATTTGTGGCTTTCCTGCCAGTTCAGTGATCTTAATAGATTGATCGTTACTTCTTCTTGCAAAACTTTTCACCACATCACTTTCTCTGTGAGTGCTTGTTCCCTCTTCTGCTGTTCTTTGAATTCAGCAAAAAGCCAGAAGCACTGTTGGCTTCTGGGCTGTGTAGTTCTTTTGACGTCCATTACAGTTCAGGCTTATTGAAAGAAAACTACAAAGTGGCAGTGCCTGTCCAAAGTGAGTCTGCTCCGTTAACTTTTTCATCCAGTACTGTCCCAGTTACGTGAATAATATTAAAGTTGACAGTCGTGTGTCGTGTACAATCTTACATTGAAAACCCGTGAAAGAGCAAGTTTGTGAAAGTCGAACCATGAAGCATCGAGGGACTACAGTACCTCAGTCATTTCTTACTAAAATTTATTGTGGTATTATCTGAGAGTCATCCCTGATAAATACTCTGAGCCCTAACAGATTCACGTATCAATTTTTTGTAGGTTTGATCAAAGCAGCTTCAACTCTGTTATTTTGCAACACACAATGATCTCTGTTGCATTAAAGCTGACATGTGGGCCTTTATTTCTGTCAATGAAATATATAATGTCATACATATTTAGGGTGTTTAAAGGGCACTGAACAAAAGTTATCTGGGGACACTTTGCAAAAAAAGTGATGACTCTAAAACAAAAATCCAATTTAATAGACATGTAAACCCTGTTATTTATGAAAACATTTTAACACATTGTGATCTAAATCAGTATCGTACAAAATGCAAACCAGTAAATATATTTTTTTAATTATACAAAAATAGTATAGTGAAAAGTATTAAAAAAAATCTTTAAACAAGTGAAAATGTACCTTACACCCAATAATATTAAGTTTAGTCACTGATCAGTGTGTCATTTATGCTCCTATTTAATCTGTTATGCAAACAGAAATAGTTAAAATAATTCCTTTAAGTTATTCAAGTCATGTTGGACCCTATCGTTAAAAAAAACAACAGTTTTCCAATAATTAGTAGGACAAATACAACAAATCAACCTGTCTGAGAGACCTTAATCACTGCTTGCCTTGTTTTGTCCTTCAACAACTCAAGTAATTAAAAGCTTCATGAGGGAATTATCTAGAGATTATAATGCATAAAAACAATCTTGAAAGTTGTAAACCATGAAACTGTGTATATCTAATCTTTACATCCAAACACAGCAAAAACCAAATCCATCAACAGCTTGTTTCACTGAGCAGATGGCTGGCATGACATCCAGCTTTATTTACAGTCTCTGTGCAGGGAAAGTCATTTCATACATAGAAGACTTATAATATATAATTAGATTTTACAAGGCCTCACAGGAAGTAGAAGATCACAGAGGGAAGGAACAAAACATTCACTCATCACATGCTCTGAAGAGCAGCCAGAACGTATTCTCATTATGTCAACACATTACTCCTTTTATACTCAAAGTTTACTCTTCCTTTCAGATTTATGTTTTTTTAACATAACTTTTTACAATATGGATTCACTATAAGTTGGTCACATCTATCCTAAACACAAATGTCAAAATATGGTATTTAATGCTGATATTGAGTATATTTGTAAAAACTAAATAATACAAAGTAGGGAAACCTGAAAAACAACATCAGACTGTTTGATTCTGAAATTCTTCTTCTTGATAAAGGCTTCAGCGCAGCCAGCAGGAACAAAGATGCATCGGGGCAGCAGAGGGCAGACCTGCTTGCTTTAATTCTCGCTCAGCTGCTGATCAAAGAAGACCTCAGAGGCTTTGAGTGGACCAAAGATGGACAAGAAGTCGGTTCTTATTCTGCGTGTTCTGCAACAAAACAGCTTGATCACAGCACAGATCAGACGGCTGCTTCACTTTAGTTTCTTAATGGAGCGCAGCCAAGGAAAGTCATAAACTGGAAACCTGAAAGCAACGTTCCCCTCGTGAGACACCAAATGTTGTCAGACTTGGCCCAAAGTTCATTAATTAACATCTTGTTTACTCAGTTCTTTCAAGAATAAAAACATGTTTGCAATCAAAACTGAATATGCACTTTAACAATTAAACTTCTGATTCTTTATTTCAGATTACTATTTTCTGAGTAACTCATGCAAAGTTGGCAGTGTAGCATAAAGATGTGCTCCCCTGACTATGACCTTTGACCTTTAGGTTGTCTACCAGACTCACTATGATCTGTTCTCTTTAAATAACGTCTGATGTTTTCATTCATTCACTGTCCTTGGACTCAGTGGCAGCTTCAGTCTGACTAATGTAAACTTTGATTTTAAGAAAGAAAAACATTGTCATAGATTAAGTTTGATTTATTTGATGTGGTGTGGATATAATCAATGTTAATTATTATTTTCATTCATTATAATGAAA